AGGATTTGTGATTTAATATAGGGTAAAGAAGAGTGACATTTAAAAAAATGTTCATATAAATTTAATAATTAGTAGTAACTTCAAAATTGAAATTTAAAATGTCAATAATAAATAAAAATATATGTTACTAAGGGAGATGAAATGGTGGTATCCACTGCTTACCAGATTAAAGTAATAACTTAAACATTTCTATTAGCTGGCCATAAAAGTTGAATTTTGTTTCTAAAAGCGTTGGGGGATGTGTAACTATTATAGCGACAGATGTAAAGATTAAAATGTTTCTATTTTGTGTCCTCTTCCCGTTGCAAAGCACGGGTACAATAGCTAGTACATTCATATAGACATATATTTTTATTTTAAATATTATATTACTGTACCGTACCTTATATTTTACGTCCAGCATTTGACCAATATAATCAGTTTATTTTACATGTATTTTATATCTATAAGCCCAATTTATAGTACCGCACATAATGGTTGACATATTTACTTCATTCTATAGTAGAACTTGAAACTGTTTTTTTTTTACATTGTGTGGTTGAATATACTGTAAGATAAAGAATTTAAATATACCTAACGATGAGGACTCAAGCGTGTTATACAGGGCGACCGAGGTTCATCAGTAATTTATGAGTACTAATAAATAATTTAAGTTCATCGCGCATCAATCTATTTATAAAGATAGTAAGGATAACAAACTTCTGAGAAAACTGTAAGCCGCACACCTATCAACCGCATACTTAAATGAAAAAGCTTGACGTTAAACTTCCCGCTAAATATCAGATTCTTGATAAACCCTCTCCTAAGGGCACGAACCTTAATTAATTTGTTTAATACGTTATCGCATAAAACAAAACGTCAGTAAGGAGATTTGTTTATTTTATAGTTTATATACTTTTTCCCAGAATAAATAATTTGAGTCTCATTACTCATTAGTGAAAAAAAGTTTTAAGCTAGTTTTTCTTTATTTGTTTAATAGACAGTAAAACTAGGCATGACAGTTGTTCCTTATATGTAATATACCCTCTTGTTTTAGTCATATATAAACATATACATCCAAAAGGAATACAACGTGAATATATGTGTATCAAACTTGCAACATAATCTTAATAGCTTTTTATTTTTATGTTTAATTTGAGACAAACCTACAACTAATAGGTATAATCTGATATTATTTAGTCAGTGTGAAGTTTTCAACTATAAGATTAGTCAGTTGTGATTTAATGATACTAATATTATAAATGTGAAAGTTTGTGGGTTTGTTTGTTTGTTTGTTCGTTTGTTTCTTTGTTAAAATATCAATCACACATTTACTACTGGTTGGATTGGGCTGTAATTTGACATGATAGCTTTGATTCCCGATTAACTTAAGCTTATTATTATCTTAAACCCCCTTTCGGGCTCCACCCCAGTGGCCATGGAATTTCCCATATTACCTTTATGAGTATTCGTACTTAAAAATAATTAAAGAATTTTGTCAGCTGTTTCGACTATGCTATTCAGTTCAGCTGTTCAGGTCAGCTGTTTCGGTTCTACGATATCCAATAGAATTAAAAGTTAAAAAGTTTACCAACAGGGCCACAGCACTAATTATCTTTTTGCATTATTTTATGAAAACATATAATTAGAACTAAGCAGCAACAAAAATCTGTCCCACACAATGAGAACTGTTGTTTCCATAGTCATAAACAAAAAGGTAAAGTAAACAAAAATTAGAAAACTTCAAGCATCCACATTAGAAAACTTCAAAATCCATTTGTGTCACCTGTTTTGATTTAGATTGTAATACTTTGTTTTTTTTTACGCTGTATGATGGTTATACCATCGCAGGCGAAGTCACGGGTACAAGCTAGTTACTTATATGGAAACACAAATACCTTTTTCCTAATTTTCTAATAGCATTTGACCAATATAATCAGTTTATTTTACATGTATTTTTAAATATACCTAACGATGAGGACTCAAGCGTGTTATACAGGGCGACCAAGGTTCTAGAATTGCATAAATGTGTAATTATAAATCTTAAATATAACAGAATTTATATTCGCACAAATGATATTTTAACATCTAATTCAGCAAAAGACATTTTGCAGACAAAGATTTTAAACCTGGGGTTTGGTTTTACAGCGATGCACAGTAAAATCCAGGTAGGATGTAACAAGATTACAGGCTCCATGACAATATACTGTTCCTAGCAACATGGTTAGTACTTGTCACTCAAGCCTAAACGCCAGCTGCTCTTAATTAAATAAGAATATTAAGAGGACTTTGACAAATTTGAATACCCTTGCCGCAGGAACCTGCAGACTAATTAATAATAGAGAGAATATAATAGAGAGTATAGTCAAAATATTCAATAAGCTGCATTATAAATCTTTAACATAATGCATATGTACATAAAGAGGTGTTAGGGATCTTAAAAGGGTTTTACTGACAAAAGTGCATATACTATTATTTTATAAAGAATCGCCCATTGTAATTTATAGGTTATAGTTAAATTAGTTAAATTAGTTAATCGTTCAAATTATTGATCCAAAACATTGAGTGCAAAACATTTTGTTTATTTTCCATATCATTAGATTATCCTTGAAAGACTATTTTTGTGTTGATAAAAACTAATTTCTTTTATTTAAATTTTTTTTATATATATAAGTGAATTTAAAATATTTTGGGAAAAAACCTGGGAAAAAATACAAGAGATGTATAAAACTCGTTTATACTTATCGCCAAATAGGTTGGTGGGGCGAAATAAGTCTTACTCCCTAGCACTAAATAAAAAAAAATTACTAAATATTTTGTGCTTACATATAATAGTATATCCTATTTTATTTAAGTAGATACGATAATTAATCAATTTTAAAGTTAGTAAATAAAGTAACTAAGAGAATTTTCTTTTTAGTGTTCGACAGTTATCGACAGTTTTGCTTTTGTTATAACAATGTAGAGCAAAATATATCAGTAAATTTACCAGGAATTGAAAAAAAAAATCTAGATGAAGAATGCCAAATTGTTGCTGATGTAATGCTAATTTATAATTGTTTTCACTTATAATCTGACCGTCATAACTATAACCATTGTATAACCAATCATAGCGCTAAGAGCTAGAGATTAAATAAAACATAATACGTATGATTAAATTAGTTATAAAGCATTTTCAGGCAGAAAATAGTGTTTTTTCGTATTTAATTATGCAACCTATTGACATTAATATTGGGACAAATAAATTTTAACTTGAATCATAAACAACAATTTACTATATTAATTCAACAACAAAGTTTGTATTATTTACACGAAGTAGAAAACAACTACAAAATCCAATGTCTCACGATTTCTGAGGCATTTTATTGGAAGAACTTTGTATATCTTTATAAGAAAACATAGCTATAAATGGAAACGTCGCTACAGAAGTGCTTCGAGAACATTAGCTACGAAATATTTGCAATTGGGAAAAAGCCTAAGACCCTCTTCTTTACAAGTATATATTCATGGTAAACACTTTAGTTGTCCAACATCTTTTGTCACCTTTCTTCCTTTAGCCGGAAAATATTATTGCCTAAGTAAACGGAAGTTATTTTAATATTTTATAGAAATAACAAGTGTCAATAATCCACAATATTTTGCAGTTTGTGTTATACTAATTTTAGCTGAAGTACATTAAATATTTTCAAAACTATTATCGAATTTGTCACCTAAAAATGTGTTGACGATTACTTGACATGATCAATAAGTTGATCATGAACAAAAAATATTACAACTGGAATTGAATCAGCTTCTATGGAGAATCCTGCAATATGACTATAAGTATAAGTACAATTTTAATATAAAAATGGATTTGTATTGAGCATTTTACCATAAAAATGAATACATCCACTATCCACGTAATCCATTATTCCAAAGGGTCAAAGTAAAAAAATCACAAACACGCGCAACTTTTAATCGTTTAATTATTGTATATAATTACTGATAGACATAGAATAATCGCTTGTAGGTTAAGCATTACTATTGTGGTAGAAGTTATAACTATTTTAGTTGGAAATCAAAGCTTGCAATTGACGTTGTTAATTTCACGCATAAATGGTTACAGTGGAACATGAACGAAACAGCATTGCAATTGGTTTTGGACATCCCATGAGGACCGTGTGTAAATCATTGAGAATATCGCATATGCATGTTGTAAAATTTGTAGTTTAGATCGTTAGTAAACAATGAAGATAAAACAAGTGTTGTTTTTATCAAGGGATACATAATTTTATAGTATTTATCCTGAATATTTTCTCGACATGTCTTTACATTTAATACCAACTTGTGTTCTATGTACAAGAGGAAAAAATGGAGCAACCATAAATTGTATATTAATACCGACCCTAATGTAGAAACGTTTTAGATGTTTATAAAACTAATAACATAATATGAACTTATGCTTTTACTATTTTTTGAAATAATTTTTATTATTCCAATGATTTTGGAACGCAAAAAAATTGTATGATTTGATGACAAAAAAATAAATAGAAAATTAGATACTCTGTTTTATTTTAAAACAAGAGCAGACATATATATTGATTAAATTCCTCAAAGGTCCTTAAAACGGTGATAACGATTACACAAAGAAGTATTTTATAAATATCGTCAGCAATTATGTATAGCTGTATCTTTTAACTCCCATATGGGTATGTTACATGAGGTAAGTTATTCCATGCAAATAAATTAAATAATTCCAGACAATTAAATAAGTCCACACAATATTCAAGAAATAACTTGAATTGATTTATTGTTTGGTACCCAAGTACTTTTATTTTCGATAAACCACTCTGGTTATTGAGCAACCGTGCTGTATTTGGTTTTAAAATGCTTTGGCCCTAAGTTTGTTCTACAACATATGATTTCAACCCGTCAATTTTCAATAAAGATCAATGGGTTTACCCTTCAAAAAAAAATACAAACATCCTAAAAACAAATAAATATATGTATTTTCTTATAATGTGATACAATCATGCCTGACATTACCTCATAGAAATTGAAATAATGTCTGGAACGGAGCTGTGAAGTTTTCGCTTCAAATCAAGCTCTTCGTTAAGTTGCAGATAATAGTTGTACACACAGAATGTCATGTATGCTCGGATACCTAAAACACATTTTATTGCGAGTAAATGAGAACCTAAAACAAATGCTATACTCACTGTATACGAGCTTCACATTGGGTAGAGGATGTAGTCAGGAATAACAATTTGGTATTTGGTTCTTTAAAAGAATATGAACACGATTACATAATACAAGTACCAATTATTTACCATTGTTTACTAACAATTGACTTAAATTGCTTCATTGGCACAATAAAATTCATGAATTCATCTAAACGTGAGTGGCAAAGTAAATTTTAGAATAGTAATATGTAGGAGTTAACAAATGATCTTTTTTAGTATGGTTAACAACATTTACTTCTAAGACTTTCCTTTCAAAACTGATGACGTCCAAGGGACATTGCCTTAAGAGAGTTCAAGGACATAAATTAGTCCTTTATACCGGCTGTGTTGAGTTAACATTTTTCAGGAAAACTTCATCTCATTTTTCAAAAACAATAACCTACTTTAGCATAATATTTAATCCTTATACATACCGATGAATATGAGAAGAACTACTGCAGCGAATACTTGGACAGTAGTTGATACAGAAGAGAAGCTGAAGGCAAGTAGCACATCCCCCACCACATCAGATAATATCAGTACCACCCCTACTCCTGCGCTCAGCAGAACTAGACCAACGGTCTTCTGTAAAAAATATCAAAAGGGTTAGACTGTGGAATAAAACAAAAAAATCATATTTACTTTTCTGACTAAATATATATATATAAATTGCAAAAAAAAAATTGCATTTAGACTACCGTTGCGTGGTTTGTAATCTTATCGTTAGGTCTTATTGTTTAGGTGCAGTGGTAGAACATTATGGCTATAGTAGATGTGCTATATTTTCTCCCTTTGTAAACGCAAAACCAAGTATAACTGCAATAAGCATTTTATACTTATACGCCAACCCCGTACGAAGGATGGGTACTCTGCTAGTGATACAATATAGACATATGTTATGTAACGTGTTTATATAGAAATATGATCCCACAAATATTTTTTATTGAGTAGAACCTTTAAAAATTTTAATCAGACCAGAAATCAAATTATACAGTTAAGTAGCAATATAAAAACACGTTAAAGATCTACAACTATGCATTATCTATATTATAAAGTTGACACATAACTCTAGTTTTAGAGTAATCAAATATTTTTCAAAACTTTAAAGAATTTTTATAAAAGAACTACTCACATACTTGATTCCGTAAACCAGTACTGCTCCTTCAAGAAGTTGAACAATTGTGAATGTAAAATCCAGCCATAACGCAGTTTTGTAGACACCTAGAATATACACATCGAAAAGCCATTAAAGCAATTTATAAGAAGCAATTTATAAAAAAAAAATACCTAAACACTAATAAACTTATTTTATTGAATAGTTAATGGTGAGATTAGGTAAAATATAATTTAAATTAGGGGAAACCTATTTTAAGGATGAGGTTAATTCTCGAATATCGAAGCTTTTTAGGTTGATGGTTTATAATATAAAGTTACAAGAAAAAGCTTTAAAAATCTAGATAAACGTTACTTTTAGAGAATTTCCCATATCGGGAATTAGCTATTGCCGTACTCATGGTAAAACCTGGACCCAGGACCGATTTCCCTTCTCGTTTTGAGGTCCCTTGAGCCCAAAAAACCATCGAATTCATATATAAAAAATGACCCAAAATTTGGTACACATGCTTAAACCTACATTTTATTCTAACGAGTTCGCAAACCAGCATGATCACAATCAGTATGATTAGTATGGAAACAATGGGTTCATGAGGTAAAAATGAGAAAAATGAGGTAAAAATTGGCTTTTCCTAATTTTGAACCTAAAACAAAAATTTTTAATTTCTTTCTAAACCATTTTGTAGAGCTAAAAAAACAAATAATTTAGTATATTGAAGCGTTGTTATGTGCCTAATAGTTATGGAAAAAATTACAAATAATTGAAAAGTTGAAATTCGCTTATTATTCTTGTGGAAAATAAATAAACTGTTGTAGTTTGCTTGTTTATGAACATATTTTAATCAAATTTAGAAAATGTATTTATTTAACTTTAAACTATTAACATAAAAAAGAACTTCTACCCTCCCTGTTGCAGCAAACCTAAGTACGGTACTTGTTAAACTAACGCTATTTAAAAAGGGAATAAATGTGATATTTGTAAGGAGATATTCTAGTGTAAATCCAATCAGGCAAATGAAAATTCCCTTAGTCTGCAGGTTCTGTAGTGGGGGTATTTAACATCCTTACCACTAGCTTGGAAGTATCCTGTATACATCGAACCAAGATAGACCAACACCATAGCATGACCATATATCTGAAAACATACGATGTAAATGTAGTAAAAGTTTTTGTAAGGTGAGTAAAGGCAATTTATTTGCTACGTATCAGACTGATATCTGTAAAAGACAAAGGTCTCACTGACTGACTCACTCACTCACTCATCACTAATGACAATTCTCCAACTTCTCATTTACCTAGGACACTTAACATTTTGTACACTATTTCATTAGGCATTTAACATGAAAACTAGGTTAAGTAGTTTTTATTCTGATTTTACTTTCGGGCTCTACCCTTGTGGCTCAAGAATTCCATGTTAACCTTATGAGCATTCATATTTTAAAAGGAATTAATTATTTTTTTTCTTTTTTTTCAACTAAACAAATCGGTTCTATGATGTCCAGTCGATATATATATTCTATATAATGAATATGTATCCATACCATTATAAAATTGAAGTCGTGTCTGTCCGTTTAGGTGGCTGTCATGACTAAAATACTAAACCAATACAGCCAAAATTAACCACAAAGATGGTCCATTATCTAGAAACGCCATAGGACTATTCACTACCTTGAGTTGCACTCGGGCTTGACTCCGTAGATGTTCAAAATTTTTTAGGCGAGGTTTTCAAAAGTAAATTAACTGGTCTCCATGGCAGAATGAGAAAACCAATAAAAAAAATTGCGTTTACATTTTGCTTTATTTAAGTGTAAACAAGAACAACTGCCAAAAGCTCATTTCACAATTTCAGCAGCTAGTCATAACCATTGAGTCAGGTATACAATTAGTATACTATTAGGAGATACAACAACTTTTTAAAGACAATTTTAGTACAACTATGTTAAGCTTTAAAATATTGCTTTGCTAGTACATTATTTGAATTACTATTTGTTATAATTTAACAGATTAGGAGACATAAAATGTTTGAACTCAACTTATATTTGTGATCTGCTTGACGAGTTACTTCTTAAGAAGGCCCATAAGTTCGCAGAGTTGAAAGACATTTTGTGTTTGGCAAAACTTTAGGGTGGGATCTGACGAACAGAAGCTCCCTGTTCTACTACAAGACCATCTCACATACAAAATTGGAAAGTATAAAATATACAAAAATTGCTATGGTAATTATAATGCAAAAGCTATAGAAGTTAACACATTTACAACTTACAATATCAAACCAACCGATGACAAAACAGCCTGTCCTTAATCGATATTGGAAGCAGAAATTTCTATCAACATTCACTTCCATCCTAAACAAATACATTTATATTTATTTATTATATACAATAAATATATTTTATCTTCAGAAATTGCATATTTTAAATGTTTGCTACTGTAAAGGCTTTTATTTGTTTGCAATAAATTTAATATTACTTACCCGATGCCATTTTAACTTCAGTGTATTTGACTGACTTTATTTCCATCAAACTAATTCCTTGATGTTTTGTTAAGGTTATTAGGCTTATAAAGAAATTATAGAATTGTTCGCCTATTTTATGCTAAAGACAGGATGTAGTCTATAGTAGTTGTATGTGGATTCTATCCTATAGGATTTCCATGACTTCTGAATTTCGATACTTGTGGTGTCTTTCCCATAGATCTACTATCTTGGAAAAATCTTATTTGTACAAATATTCCTCGAAAGAATTTGATCAGCATTAATTTTTAGCATGGTAGCATTAACTTTACAGTAAACAAAGTTACAAAACCTGCAATTTGGTCAAAATAACAGTTTCGCGGCTATTGAAATTTGTTTAAGTTTTCACCATAAAAATTATGGCTACTTTACCAACTACCCATTAATTGTTCCTCTTTATAAAAGTAGTAAGATTACTTACAGGAATCACTTGAAATTCCAGGCTAATGTGAGAAGGCATGTGTAGGTTTGTTGATACTGTGTACTATCTTAACATAGACTTTTAATTTAATTTGTAGACCTATAAAAAAAAATAACTTTGACACTGCCATTGCAATATATCATGTTAATTTTATGTCTCATAAGAAATATTTTATAAATCCTCTTTTAAGCCGGGTTTTCCTAGGCGCGTAGTCGGCCAGCGGAGAGAGGAACGCGGAGAGCGGACTCAGCTGGTCTTAGGTAATTTAATGTTACTGTTTTCCTAGCAGCGGAGCGAAATGCCATGTTAATTTCAATTCCGCTCTCCGTTGTCCGCTCTCCGCTGGCCGACTCCGCGTCTAGGAAAACCCAGCTTTAAGTTGATATAAACTTCACACCATTTAACACATAAGTTTAACTGACAAATTTAACGATAATACGTCTTGCTTATGCAAATACCTTAAAAGTTCTGGATTTTACAAATCAATATTTGCTAAATAATGTAGTGTACTGTATTATTAATCTTAATAAAAAAAATAGGTAACCAGCCGAACGGCCTGGGTCCAGGTCTTACCATAAGTACTATGGTAATAGCTTATTCCCTATATGGGAAATTTGCTAAAAGTAACGTTTCTCTTGATTCTTAAAGTTTATTATACATTAAACCTGAAGATGTACTCGCTTAGCAGTACGAAACGGCCTTAGTGTTTTCATAACTTAAGGTTCAATTAAGGTTAATTAATGGAACCATCACTTAAAAAATGTCTGGTCTGGGAGCTATGTAGGCCTAATTGGAAATTTTGCACTGTTTAATTTTTAGCTGTTTTGTTATTTTTAATTGCCGATTTGCTTTTTGTATTTTTATTGGAACTACTTGTATTTATACACGAATAGTCTTTAGTGCATCATACCTTACGTGATACACTACAAAGTAGTCACAAAGTTTATTTTAAAACAACGTTTTCATTTTGAGATTTTAAGGAAAATGTAATGGTTAATGTCTTCTTTCTAGTCGTTTTTAAAAACTATTATTTTGCTTATAAATATATAACTCGTCGTTGGACTTCATAGCTCATGTTTTGCCCTGCTAGGGTTTTTATTACATTATTTCCCAGTATTATTTCAGTCAGTATATATTTAAACTATCTACAGTACAAATCAATCATATCCTTCTGCATTAACCAATCCCCAAACTATATATCATAATACCTGTATAACCCCAAAAAATAAAATAGCTAACATAATTTCAATTAAAAACTTACATTTCAAAGTGCTCATGAAATCTTATAAGGAAAACATGAAGTTCCGAATAAAACCAACTCTACATAACGCACAAACATCTACACAACAAAACACAACTCTGTCTGTCACAGTGATAAACTAACACCTGCTGCTTATCAAATGACAAAGCCTTATCACTAAACAATGCTAAGTCTGTAAAACGATAACACACACTTTAGCTTAAGTCGTCTGTAGAACATGTGACTCATTTAAGTGGCACTTAATTTTTAAACAACCTTAATTTTTGGGAGTCTTGGTTGCACTTTCTGCCATTAGATGTTCAGAAATAAATAGAGCTTGAGGAAATGGCTATATGTAATTGGTCTTGTATGTTTTGACGTTAATTTTCTCATGAACTGGTTCCGTTATGACTTCGTCAGCTTTTATTGGGATAGTTCAAAGATAGGGTAGCTCTAGAGCAATTTCAATGGGTTCGTCAAGCACGACAAAGCATGGTTCTTCTACCCCTCTAATATTTTGGACGTTTGCATTTGTATATCCCGGGGAAGAATGTTGCCTCAATTCTTCGTAGAGGCTAACGTATTTGTTTCGTGTTTTTATGAGGTTCTTCACATAAAACCAAGACGTGAATGTAGTGAGATAGATCCCTCTGGTATCCAGCATCATCCATGATCGATTTTTGTATACAGTGTTCTTAGTACTTTAATTTGAATCAAAAGTGATGCGTGCTCATAAACACTTAGTTCTTAAAGCTGATTCGCGTTCTCACCATGATTAAAATCTTTTTTGTCTTCACCAGTCGTCAAGGTCTCTCCTTTCACTACACATAAAATGGAGTGAATACTGAGACAAATATATTAATTTGTTCTTCTCATATTATGTATTATAATATATTATTTTTGTTTGTTCTTCTCATATTAAATTGGTGGGCTTGGACCTCAAAAAAAAAAAAATACTCATCTAGGAAGGGAGTATAAGATGTCCTAGTCAACAGCATAGTATTTTATTGAAGTTATCTGACCATCGAGATAGCTTCCCAGAGGGCGTCAAACCTTTGCTTGTAACGAGGACAGCTAACCCCTGAATTTATTTAAACTTTTATTTCGGAAGTCTTAATTGATATTACAGGTGCTACACGGTATTTGACAATATAAATACTTAAGAGCTATGGAAATTATAATATTGCATACAAATTCTGAACGTTTACCGTCACAGAAAGGACCTAATGACAATAAAGACCGTGAAGTATAAATTTAAAAGTAGAAATTCATTAAATTTCAACTGATTATGCCCCTCCCTAAACGGGGCTGTGTGGTAAATCCAGAAAAATTAAATAAATGAGCCTTATCATAGATAGCAATAAAAACACATAGACCTTTCCCTTTTTGCGAAGATAAAATTACTAAACATCTTTAACGTTTTAAAACAACGATGAAAGCGATACTAGTTTGCATAATCGTTCCATATCACTCTTGCACTGGTAAACTTCAGATTCAGGGGAAAATAACATCTTGCTACCTAGTGAGGAACTAAAAATAATGTTGAAGTACTGTACGACTTTCTTTACAGTACTACTTACCAGCAAACACTTTTTGTTTTTGTTAAAAACACATGTTTTAATAAAATATGTCATCATTCACCATTCATACAAATGGTCAACGCTAAGACATTAAATGTCGTGTTGAAGATTCATTTCTTACAAACGAGGTAAGGCTTGTGGTATAAAATATGTTTGGAGAGGAAGTGAAAGCCAGTTACAAGTTTTCAACATCCATTATGTCACTCTTTGAAACAACTTTATAATTCAGTTCTAAGTCGTTGTCATATTTCATACTCATCATTTGCAATTTTTTTACCAAGTTCTGTAGTAGGAGTAGTTGAAAAGGTAATTCAAAGGAATTAAATAGTATAACAGTAGACAGGGTATTATTTTTATAGAAATTTACTATGTAGTGCAGAGTGTAATATTTCTAAGGTGATTAGAAACTTATGTTTTCGCTACATAGGAAATATTTTGCTTGAGGAAATATAGTTGTAACTTTTTATTCTTTTGTGAGTAGTTAAACACTGTTACTATTTAAGTGTACATTTAGGCCTATCTATTATTTTTTCTTATGAATAATAGCTAGGTTTGGGACTGCTTGATCATTAATGGTAGATTTTATATTTTAAATTATAGAAAAGTAAACATCAATATGTATATATTTTTAAGGCATATTTTGTCGATGAGCCGATTGAGACATCTAGTATAGTGTGTTCTTACGAATAACTTACTCATTTTTAACGACAAAAAATAAATATGTCACCGAAACAGGTTCACAGAAAATTTTTAAGACAATTAATTTTACCCTAAGTTCAGCAAAGACCATTCGTACCGAGATTTACTGGAATACTACAGGAATGAGAAGTAGGGTTTCATTGATCTTTGGAAAAATACCGAATGTTTGTTAATATATTTAGACATATGGCTATGTGTGAATGGACGAAACCACCACACACACAAAAAAATACTTAGATAGGGCAAAACTATTAAATTGCCGGAATGGGCACACGGGAGGGACTAAGGCTAAAGGTGTAGTGACGTCGTATCTCTAGTGGCTAATGTCTACTCTTGAGGAAACACGATTACCGTAACGAAACGTTGAGTTTTCAGCGGGGTTCGTGGCATAGTTAGTAACGTTTCGATTCGGTGTTCAGTAGATCCCGGGTTCGAATCCTGCTGGAAGCACTAACTTTTTGTCAACAAATTTTTATATCAGCAAGTTTGGTTGGTTAGGTTAGGTTATGACAGTTTAATTTTATAATACTAAATTTTAAAATTAATTTAATAATTAATTAAAAATTATAAGTAATCATTAATTAGATTTTTATTCTATACAGTTTTTATATTATCAGCAAGTCTGGTTGGTTAGGCTATGTTATGTCAGTTTTATTTTAAAAATTAAAAATTTATTTTATAATTTTAAAACAATATTTTATAATTAAAAAGTTAATTTTATAACTAAAAATAAAAAAAAATTAATTTTTTCAACTTAGCGGTTCTAGCGGCGAACGCTGACACTACAAGATATGTTAGCCTTAGTCCCTCCCGTGTGTCCCACCGTTAAATTGCCCACCCTGCGAAACATACTGGAAAATTGGTTATTAAGGGATGTATATAACCTT